GCACTGCGCTGTGCGGCGGAGCGCTGCATCTGCGGACGACTCCGGTTATTTCCCTGCCAAATCCTCCGCCCCCACCCCCCCTGCACATTCCTGCCCGGCAGAGCTGGATCTGGGGGTTATCTGTATTATTTCCCACTAAATCCATCCCCCCCTCCTGCCAGGGAACGCCAGCTCGGAGGCTTCGCCCGCACCCCCCGCTTTCCCCTCTCCGGGCAAGCGCAGGGGCACGACGGCTCAGCAACAAGGTCATGTGCCATCGGCCCGACGAACAAAAGCCCTTCCCTCGTTATTTATTTATGGATTTGGGGCGTGTTCCCGGTGAGGAGGAGCCTTTGTGCGCGCAGGTTTCACACCCACAGGGGCGCAGCGGCCGCGGCTCGTCCAGAGGCGCCGCGGGACAGCCCGCGGGCTCATTAATAATTGCTCGCCATCTCCATATTGAAATTGCGGAGCAGCGCATGATTAATTAAGGAGGGAAAAAAGAAAGGGGCGAGTGAGGGAGGCCCGCGCGGACCCGGCCGCGTTAACCCCTTCGCGCCCGCCGCCCGGGAACTCGCCGGGAATATTAATTAATGCTGCTGTTTGCGTGTCGGTAGGCGACCACGTGAGGCCTCTGGCACAGGCTCTCCAGAGCCGACGACTGATGAACAGAATTTCCTGCAATCCGCTCATCATCAGCTTTTCATTTGGAAAAAAAACCCTACCGAAAAAAAAAAAATCCTAAATCTCATGCAATGAGGCTGAAAGAGTATTTACAAGGCTATTTATATAAAGAGATATTACAATTAAAATCCTACAAAATGTGTAATTTAAACTCATCCGAGTGCTCCAAATAATGAAAACATTTCCCACTGCATTACTGTGATTAACTCGCACGCGGAATCGCAGCTCCTCAGACAGAAATGGGAGTAATAAATACGCTCTCTACAGTAATCAAAACACAGAACAACCATTTTCCAGAGCGCTCCAACTTCACACGGTTCTGCCTCCCCCGCGGACTCGGTCACCCGGCTCCCCCTGTCACAGGGCCGGGGTTTATCTCGGGATTGCCTGAGCGCTCCCGGAGGCGCTC